TTTTCAGAATTCTTGTCCCCAGAAGTGTAGTAAAGAATGACCTCAGGTCTCTGTGAGGACAAGATAATTAATAGGGATTAATACTCTGGGACAGAACCATTGTTCTGATATCTTTAATGGGCCGGGGTGTGGGGAAGAGTATTAAAACTCCTCTATAGAAAAAACAAATTTTATAAGTATACCATAAACATAGCATGCCAGACTAACCATGTTTTTATAGTTGGCAGCTGGGCGACAGCGACAATCAGGAGATTGAACGTTACAGACACAAACAACAACTTTCTTTATCCAAGAGGGTTTTCTCCGAGTCTGTGATATGTTAATACACCATAAAAATCTCTAAAAGGGGGTAAAAGAACAGCACTTGCCTAACTTATTTAATCACATAATCTATTTTTCCCCAGGGCAGCTCTTGGTATTAGTGTTCGGAATCTGGGGAAACACCACAGGACTCAAATAACATGCAGTGTTTTGTCTCCATTTCCTCTCATAACAACAAACACATACATCAGCTGTGGGAAGACCTCATCAGTACCGTGAAACAGCAGTATATGCCAGCCCTCCGCTGTTCAATACAGTAGCCAGCCCACATGTGGCTCGTGAGCACTTGAAATGTGGCTAGTCCCATGTGCGACGTGCAGTAAGTGTAAAATACACACCAGATTTTGAAGACCCGAGACAAAAAAAAAAGGTAAAATATCTCATTAATAATTGTATACTGATTACATGTTGAGATGAGAATATTTGGGATACATTGAGTTAAATCAGATACATTATTCAAATTAATTTCCTCTTTGTTTAACGTGGCTACTAGAAAAATTTTTTAAAATTGCATGTGACTCACATTTTCGGCTTTATTTGTGAAACTCACATCTGTTATCTTCTATAGCTGGCTACTAATGGCTCTAACGTGGCAGAAGTTTTAATGAAAATGAATGCTTAAGATAGACAACTAGAAGTGTAACTAGGGCCCTCATTAATTATGTACTCATTTATTAGAGGGCAGTTAACACACAGTGAAGACCCATTCATTCATCAGTGTATGCTTGCATATACCTATTCACCACTCAGATATATCTAAGAGCTGTTGGGTTTTATATCATATGTGATACTGACTCTCCCTAAGTTAGTCTTGCGCTCGCTCTCTCTCTCTCTCACACACACACACAGAATTTCCTATGGGGGGGGCGGGGGGGAGACTAGGAAAAACCAAAGAGGAAACAAATAGGAAGGGCTTGCAAACTGTGTTTTCACAGTCCTCCACAGTCAAGCCTCGCCTCTTGCATCTTTTCTCCCTGTCTCGCTTCTTCTTCCTTGACGAGAAAGGCAAGAAAAGGAAGGCCAGCCTGCTCTTTTCACCATCTGACTCACCAACAAACGTCTCCAAAGAACAAAAATATGATTTGGTTTTCGTTTTAAATGATTTTTCAAATTCAGTTCAGAGGTGAAAGTAACAGGTACATGAAGGCGAAAGAAGATGCAGGAATTTCTGCAGATAAGGGACTTCGCCATTTGTGGAAGAGTCTAGGTGGAAATGACAAGGTTCAATATTTGAAGGGAATTTTTAAAAATGTTTCTTAACCCTAAAGGCATCATCCATCAGGCCTCAATTCATTAGCACTATCAATTAAAGAAACAGGGAGAGAGGGCACCCCCGGTATGAGAGTTATGGTAATGCAGGAGGCCCAGATACTTAATGTAGCATCAACTTTGGGATTTTTCACAGCAGTGCAAATAAAATGACGAGGTTTCTTTATGGAGGAGAAGCAGGACAGATGCAGCTGTCATTCTGTTCTCCGGCACAGCTGCGCTCGGGGTGAGCTGTCCTGGACCTGTGACCTGACTACACAATGGGCCCAACTCCTGCTGCGGCTGACCTTGAGGTCAGCCCTTCTGGCCAGAGCGGAGGCCAGCCTTATTGAGCCTGGAGCTTTTAGCTACAAACTGACATGGATGGAAGAGATAAGGAGAAATCCTGCCCTCCCAGGCAAGGGGAGGTCACATGATTAAGCACACACCGGAAAAAATAAACATCAGAATGTACTATTTAAAGACCAAAGGGAGGACAAGAAGTTGCTGAATCGTGGGGAGGTTGGGGAGGGGCGGGGATTAGAGGTCCCAGGAAGCAATAAAACCCACAAGTAAGATGACTGGTTCTTAGCATTAAAAAGTACCTCAGCAACTCACGCTGACATGCTGAGCTCCAGCAAGCTTTCCCCACCCACCCCTTTGGTTGCCTTTTCATTTGCTTTCCTGGCCAAGTTTATGCCAAGATAACGTGGCCTTGGCGAATGTGAGGCTGGTTGGTCATTTAGCTATTAATTTGGGACAGTGTTGAATAAATAACCCAGATCCCCAAAAGAAGGCCTCATATGTAATTGAGAGTATGTTTCTATCACTATTGTCACACAGTCCTGAGGCCTGAATTCTACTACAGACCAAAAATACTTTACTTCCCAGGTCATTTTTGCTCTGCAGAGCTCGCCTACCAACTCCTTTTCTCACATTACTGACACTGTAATCCTTTGTTTCCAGCAAGCAAAATAAATATTTGCATTAAAAGGAGCTCCGAGCTAAACCAGCCTATTCCTTTTTACTAAGCCCCAGTGAATCAGAACCTTCTGAGGCACAAATACTATGGTCAGGATTGGTTCTAGAATATAAAAAACATACACTTCATTTTTACCCATCAAGTGATCCGGACCCCAAGCACTGCATCCACATATGGAGATTCCATTTGGCTGAAATGCTTACTTGAGGTAAAAAATTGAGCACAATTTTCTACGCACATAGTAGGTACTTAAAATATAGGTTCCTTCTAAAATATATAAAGGACCTGCATATTACAAAACTCTCTTATATTCATTTTTATCATTGGCAACCTCATGACAATCCTGTGAGGTGCAGAGGGCTCTTTGCATTACTAATGTTTGTCCTTTTATTCATGTGTTTCCTTAGCATGGTTATAAATCACAAGCTTACATTAGTTGCATTGAAATTATTGAGATTTGTTCTCTACAGGAATTGAAACAATTTGAGTACTACCTTGATTAAAATCTTAGTGTGTCAAAGAAAGTTAAAGTTATATAGTGCCATGGAAGAGTTCCAAATTAACACAGAACAACAAAATGAGTGTTTCTCGAATTATCAGAAAGTAAATACTATTATCTTAATAGGGTCGTCAGTTGCCTAAAGAATCACAGGGGTGTATATGCTGAAAAACCTGTTCGTCAAACCTCAGTTATTAGGTTAGAATGGAGCAAAAAAGTAGAAACTGATGACTGAAATGTGATTGGGCACAATATATGATATTTGGGGGAAATGTGTGGAAGAGAAGGTCCGTAATTGTGTTAATGAAGCAAATTCACAGAGTTGTAATATTCTCCAAAACTTCCCATTCTTAAAGTATACGGCAGTCTCCCCATTGTGGAGAGATTCTTTCAATCTGTCCTCAAATATTTCCAGTTACCTTCGGGGTTTATAACTATTCATGCCACATAGAGTAATATTAAAATTACACTAGTGGTGGTGAAAATGCCCCCGTCACCTTCACGAGGCAACCTGCCTAAGCACTTATTCAGAAAAGGATGTTACTGCTTAGAAGGGAACAAGTTGGTTAATTAAATAAGAAGTGACACGCCAAAAAAAAAAAACCAAAAAAAAAAACCCAATATAAAAAGTGTTGTTCTCCAACAAAGAGAAATAGATCTACAGTTTCTAACTTAAAAAAAAAAAAAAAAAAAAAAAGAAGTGACATGCCATGCTTTCTACTGCAACACTTAAGGGCCTTTTCCCCCTTCTTGGGAAAACAAGATAGAAGAGGATCTTCCAAAAGCTACAATTCTACTCTTTCAGGAAAATGAAAACTTTTAACTTTTGACAAGCTTACCCTTGTTTCTAATTTACCAAGGTGTCAATTCATAAAGACACACTCAGACATGGCCTTTGCTTGCATTTGACACACAAAAGCGTTGCCTTTTCAGAAGGGTCAGCACAATGTCATGGTTACCCTGCTAGACCTTAAAAGGGTGGGCGAGCATGAATGAGTCCAGTTGTTCTGAAGTTCCTAGAAATGAAACTGATATGTTGAACTAGATTATCACTTCTTAGGGTGTTAGGTTTCAGGTTTCAAGAATGAATGGTGAAAGGATAAGCAAACAGAAACAGAAGGTACCTTCCAGGGGTACTTTGGTTCACTGCTGTATCCCCAGATTCTAGTCTAGAGTACTGAATAAATATACTTGTGAAGCGAAACTCTGGATTTGAATCTTCATTCTGCCCCTTCCTAGCTGTGAGACTTTGGATCAATGACCTAAATCATCTTGAAGCGTTGATGGATGATGACAAAAGCATGTATGCCATAAAGCCCTGTATACTGGATGCTTATTTCTTTCAGCCTATAGAGGCCAAAGGAAATGAAATTGAAACAAGATGCTGAAAAGCAGGTATCACTATCATTTCAAAAGGAGACTGCTCCATAGAAGGCATTTCGCTTTAAGGCTTTCTGAGAGGACCTAGACTATTCATGAAAGAACTTCTAGAGACCAACTTTGAGAGTCATCCGAAGCTGTTATTTATGTGGTGTTGCTCTAACCTGAGTATTTTCAAAATGAACAATTGAAGCCAATTTCATATATTTGTATCTGAGGATACGAAAATGGAACAATAAATGAAAAAGGTGCATGTTTTCAAAACCATTTTGTCCTAACTTGTTCTGATGAGTGCAAACATAAAGTCATAAAATATACAAAGGTAGTTTTTACCTTTTTTTGGCCACAGATCCTTTAAGAATCTTATGAATGCTAGAGAACCTCTTCCCAGGAAAATAAGTGTGCACACATATGCACACACACACAGCACATGGCACACACACATACATGCCAACAGACACACACACACACACACACATATTTTGAGGCAACAGAGTATTCCCAACTCCTCCCAGTTTATCTATAAATCAAGAAGTTAGGAATTACTGAACTTAATAAGTGTTTGGGTTTACATGGAGATAGATGTAGAATATATATATATATTTTTACATCTATCACATATATGCAAATATTTAATGACTATTTGAATAATTCTTAAATCTTGTACGGCATGCAGGTCCCTCCTCACTCCGATATATGAAATCACTAGTGACCAAATTCTAGGAAATGGGTAAGCTCGCATTCTGACCTGACAGATGTTCCTACCGTGTTCTGCAAACCCCTATTTACCTGAAGTAGTTTTACAACTTCTATGTGTATATAGCAGGGTAGAATTTAATATAACAACTTGGTTCAGTGGGTATTGTAGACAGTTTCTAGTGGAGCCTGTGTCTTGGAGACTAAGGTGATCAGCCAAGGAGTTCACTCATCTCTTAATCTAACAGCATAAACTTTGGCAATGTTCTTTTCACCATCACTAGGTCCCATTCTCAGCCAGGGTCTGCCTGTCCCAGGAAACACAGTATTCCCGCAAAGGCAGAAATGACATATCTTTGTAGTGGCTACCCTGATCTTTGTGATGAGTGATTTTTACCACGAGTGTATTCTACAGTTCAGCTAATAGCTTCATAGGGATTACATAAGCATTTTATATTAACAATAGAGAAGACACAGCTCACGCTTCAAATTGAGAAAAACACTTGACAGCAACACTTGCTATAGTATTTGCTAACCTATGAATTTTCCTATTCTAATTGAGCTTTAGGAAAGAAAAAGGAACCAGGAAAAGAGATGTAAGGCCTAAAGGAACTTTGAATTTCAGGACTTAAACTAAGTTAAGATATGTTTAGGGGCGCCTGGGGTTGTGAGTTTGAGCCCCACGTTGGGCATAGAAATTACTTAAAAATGAAATCTTTAAAAAAAAAAGGTTATGATATGTTTCCTTTAAAGTGCCCAGATTAATGATTAACAATAGAGATTCATATGCAAATTTATCCATTCAGTAAAAACCATGAATTTCAATAAGTAAAGGCCTAAGACAACCAAGAGTTTCCTTTTTTTGTCCTTCAGCAACCTGACATTTCATTCCTCCTAGCAATTTTCAGCTGGGCAATTACTTTAGTTTTTGATTGTGTTTATTTCTGAATTTATGGGTGGAGGGCACCCATAAATGGCCAAATTCTCTTTCCAATTGCAAAGGTACTGGCATTTTATTTACATAGTCCACATTTCAGTTTTGTTTTCTATGCCATCACTGAAAAATGGATCATTTCTCTTTCCCTTTTTCCTCTGATCTCTGGTTTCATACCTATTCCCTGAAATTTTAAGTCTCTATGGTTTTTAGAAGAGTTGTGGGGTCTTAATTCTGCAGGTTCTCAAACTGTTCTCCCCCAAGTCTGGTACCATGTTGCCTTCACCTGCCTTCGCCCGCCCATCCCTCCTTCTGGCGGCAATGTTAAGGCTCCTGGTTGTGATAACCATTGAATGTGGCTTATGTGGAAACTGCCTCGGGTAGGCTTGGGAAATCTCAGTGACCTTCTGCAGGGCCACAGTGGGAGATGGAGCCTTCTAGACAAAGACGCTGAAGAGAGGGAACTCGGCCTGATTGGGCTGCAGCAGATCGATCAGAAAGCACACCGTCCCGGAGAAGCCTTCATACAAGCTGTATATACTTTCAAGGACCCGAGAGCCGGCCTTGAATTCCTCCGTAAATAAAAACTCAGCAAACCTAAGAGAAGAAAATAACATATGAACACGGGAGTGTTTCCATATTATTGGCCTTCAGTTGCTTCTTCCTCCTCTCTGCTAAGGTAAAGTTCTAGCACCATTTTCTTTGCAGAACTATATAATATTTTAAGAAAACCTTTTTCTCTGTTTAAAAAAAAAAAGAAAAGAGGATCTGTTATATAATTGTGTATGTTTCACAACAAATTGTGTTGACAAGCAAATTCACTATTGTCAGAGTTTGCAAAGCAAAGCAGTTTGGTATTTTCTGTGGATTTCATTCCTTCTGTCATCCAATAATTAAAAGTAAAAGAGACAGATAAATAACCATATTTTTCTTTATCTGGAATAGAAGCAAGCTGAGGTATGACTGTTCCTTTGAAAGAGTAAATATGCTGTGATTCTGCAGGCATATCATTTCTGAGCTAGGTTTCATTTATATGTGACAGAGAGCAGAGACTGTGAAAATAAATGGGCAAGATTTTATACAACCTGTGCTTTGGGCAAACATAGGAATAAGATGAATGGGAAAAGGCAAGCAACATTTTATAATCATGACATCAAATAGCAAACTCAGCTCTAAGATAGATTATTTTTAGGACATCTGCCTTAAAAATACATCACTAGCCTCTAGATTCTCGATGAAAGATCCTTTTTCTTCTACGTGTATTTGCCACAAATCCTATTCAAATTGTTGATAGTGAGTAACACTGTAGTAGTTTACAGCTTTGAAAGTGCTGTGATCTGTGTTATCTCTTTTCGGACCTGCTGACACAATCACCAATTCAGAGGAACTCACAGGTTGGTAAGGCCTGAGAACTGATACTGCCATAAATTTAGATTATTGCTACTATGTGTGTGTGTGTGTGGGGGGGTCCTATGAAGAGTAATTACTTATTTGATCTTTTTAGGGCTCTTGGAATTATCAACAGCAGCTTAAAATAAATCAGCAGGAAACATACTGCAATTCTGTTTGGTACAATTTTTTTATCAACTGTTTTCCTGAATATGCAACAATTTTTAAATGGAGTTAAAAATTTTAAACAGTATAATGATGATGACTCTTAAAGAGTTAATTCAAAATTTGTCATTATGCAATGAAACTTCAAAGTATAGCTTCAAGGAGTCATAAACTTTACAGTGCCACGGATCATTTCACGATCTGGACTCCTCCCAGAAAAAAAAGTCTTCAAATACAGAAAATAAAATACACAGGATTCCCAAGGAAATTAATTATATCAAGGCGCAGTTAGCAAAAGTTGTAAAACCCAATTTGTGAAATAATAATATACGGATTCCTTATTAACACATTAAAGAACAAGATCGAGTAGTGGGTCTAATAACTGCTGACATTTCTAAGTAGTTATGAGAGTCAAATATATTTCATAATATCTGCAACAAGAGCAATATGACGTGAGAATATCTATGACTTCTACTGGTGAGAGTCACGACTACTGCTACTTCTCCTGTGGCTTATTACCTACAGTCAGAATTGAAGGTAATGCTCCATTTCAGTTTGAGATATAATACTTTTCTCAAGTAAATTCACAAGCCCTAGATTAAGAAGCTCTGGTAGAGCAGAAAGAGGAAGGGCTTTGGAGTTGAGATCCCCAATTCTGATAATTTCATGTTATATGACCTTTGGCAAATTTCTTAATCTGACTTTAAAATGGTGAAGTTGCAGAGTTGTGTAAGATTACCTGTAAAGATTAAAGATACCGTATGTTAGGCTCTGAGCTTATGGCAAGCATTTGATAAATGGTAAATATCGTTTTTCACATAAACATAGTGGAATGTTTATAAAACAGAGACTACCATTCTACTATTCTTGAAAAGAAACCCATAGTTAATTTTGCTCTTTCTCCTCCTGACCTTTTCCCCCCCAAACTTTGATTTATTTAGCACATTATTGAAATTATAGTCTGTATAATATTAATATCCTACATTTTACTTAAAAGTAATATGATAAACATTTTTTGTGCTTTTCAAAATAATTTCTAAATGATATATAGCATTTTATAAGAGTACCAGCAACGTATGAGAGTAGCAGTTTCATTGTGTTCTGACCGGTATAGTTATCACATTCAAGTGAAAATGACCAATTGAATTTGAATTAAAAATAAATAAATAAATAAATAAATAAAGTGAAAATGACTGCTCCCAAAATCTACCCAGTGATGCAAATTTCAAGCCAACGAATTTATTTTTCTAAAAAATTCTGTCAAAATAGAAGTCAGAATGGTAATTCTAGAACTAAAAAGAATTACAGACACTGAGAACATTACATATCAAAACATATTGATTATGACAAGAATTGAACTCTGGAAAATTCATCCATCTGAGAATTTTATTACTGTTATTATGAGAAAGATGTAAGGTATTCTAATGAAATATTTTTTTTAACTGTAGACAATAACAAAGGAAAGGAATACTAGAAAATCAAAAGGCAGAAAGTTTCTATGAATTAAGAAGCAAAAGAAACACAAAAAGAATCAATAAACAAAACCAAAAGCCAGTTCCTTGAAAGGATGAATGACATAGACAAAATGTTGGTATCTGACCAAAAAGGAAAAGCATTAGGAATGCAAAAAGGCATATAATCACAGACATGGGAAATTGAAAATATCATGGAACTACACTGTTAAAGCTTTACATCAAACATTTGAAAATCCATATGAACTAAATGTTTTTATAGAAATATATTCACTACCAAAATTATTTCAAGAAGAGGTAGAAACCCTGAATAATTAAATAATGATAGAAGAAACTGAAACCATTATCAAGCATTTTTCTGCAACTATAAATTTCAACCAGTGACTAAGTAATGTTTATTACAAGAAGGTACATATTGTCTGACATTACTGTTTTAGGAACTGCCAAAATTAGGGAAGTTTCCCCAGTTTGGGCCATAGAATATTTAACTTTGAATTATAATGAAGTGAAAATTTCAGTACACTAAAGCAATTAAATGCAATGCCCCCCATATATTCAGATATGACCTGCACATTTTCAGGCTCTACCTGGAAGTGAGAAATGGAACCTGTCTGAAGGGCCCTGGATCCCAGAACCTCATAACTAAGAGAGTGTGTAATCTAGGACTGGTCTGCCAGAAAAATAGAGGGGTTGTTCTGGCTCTTTTGACTAGGCTTTCTAGGGCCTGACAATCTCTGATGAAACCAATCCCAAAGGTGATATCACATTAGTCTAGACAGAATCCAAAAGGATTTTCTTTTTGTACGTTTGGGAAATAAAGGGTCAGGCTGCAACCAAACAGATTAGGGAGCCATGAATCAAAATATGTTAACAGAATTCCTGAACAATGAAGCTTCAAATGGAGGACTGACATATATTAGTATTTTTCCTTCAGTGTCTACCGGCAAATGTCATAAAAGGTATTTTATGTTTTTGTGTTTTTTACACTGAATATTAGCTAAGTTGGCTTGGGAAGACCTTTCTGAGAAAATGACTTTAGAGTGAAGGTCTGAATGAAGTCAGGGGCCTAGGAGATACATGTAGAAAGTGAGCATTACAGGTGGGGTGGGGGGAAACAAAACAGTGAGGTAGGTTGCACCTGGCACCTTCAAAGAACCAAAAGGAAGCCACTGTGGTAGAAAGAACTAGGTGGAAAAGAGCAGATGATGATCTCACAGAGGTAATGGGAGGCAAGATCCTGTAGCACCTTTTGTGCAAAGGACAGACTTTGGCTTTTCCTGAGTCATATGGGAAGCCACTGGATTTTCCTGAACAGAGGAGTGTCATGATCTGACATGATATACATCGTAAGAAGCAAATTTCAAAGGTCAGGGTGAAACACAGAAGCATTCCTAATAAAATCATCATTACTATTGCTCGTATTAATGAACATTTTTATGGAGATTCTGACCCATGCAATGGGGGAGGAGGGGGGAGAATACAAATGAGGAAGGAAGTAACAAAATTATAATTATTTGCAAATATGTCTTTCTAAACCCAATGAACTCTAATGAAAATCTAATAGAAACAGTAATGGACTTCAGAAAGGTGGCCAGATATATCATTACATCTATCAAAACTAAGATGTTTATAAGATACAATGCAGATTTATATGAAAGAAGTGCATCTTAGATTGCTAAACTGCAATAATATGCACGTTTTATTTTTTTAAATATTTTTATTTATTTATTTGACAGAGAGAGAGACCGCAAAAGAGGGAATACAAGCAGGGGGAGTGGTAGAGGGAGAAGCAGGCTTCCCGCAGAGCATGGAGCCCGATGCGGGGCTCGATCCCAGGACCCTGGGATCATGACCTGAGCCAAAGGCAGACGCTTAACGACTGAGCCACCCAGGCGCCCATATGCACGTTTTAAAAAGCTTTCGTAAATACCAGTAATAAATGACCTGAAAATACAGTGCAGGAAAAGATTCTACTCACAAACCTGGAAACATAAAATACCTAGGAATAAAAGTAACTAGAAACATGCAAGGGGCACCTGGGTGGCTCAGTTGGTTAAGCAACTGCTTTCGGCTCAGGTCATGATCCTGGAGTCCCTGGATCGAGTCCCGCATCGGGCTCCCTGCTTGGCAGGGAGTCTGCTTCTCCCTCTGACCCTCCCCCCTCTCATGTACTCGCTCTCTCTCATTCTCTCTCTCTCAAATAAATAAATAAAATCTTAAAAAATAAAAAAATAAAAAAATAAAAAATAAAAAACACAAAGATACCCAGATAACACCATTAAAAAAAGTAAGTTCTAGATTAGTCAAAGATTTGAAAGTTAAGATAACTTTTAAATGGGTGGGAGAAATGGGTGAAGGAGGTAAAAAATTTATTTTTTAAAAGTTAAAATCACAAAGGTACTAAAAGTCAATGTAAACTGATATTTTTGTAATCTTCGAGCAGGAAAGGTCTTTTTAAGTATAACACAAAATCCAGAAATCTTGAAAGTTTAACAAGAAAAATACTTAAAATTTTGGTCTGGCAAAAGACCTAAAGCTAAGTTGAAAGAGAAATGGCAAAGTAGGAGAATATTTACAGCATATATTGTAACAAAGAGTTACAATCCTCAAGATAAGCATCACAAGAGGATAAAAATGGGCAAACGATAAAGACAGGCTAGAAATACCCATGGGTCTAATGACTTCAATTCTAAAATTTCTGTGACAAGAAATGCTTGCACAGGCGCACAGAAATGTATGTACTGGCTATCTGGGACAATTTTGCTTGTTATTTGTAAAGATCACACAGGTACCAAGTGTCCATTACTTAAAGATTGGTGAAATTAATCATGGTACATCTATAATGAATAACCGTACAGTCATTTAAACAATGAAATAGATCTATACAAACTGAAATGAAGGATGTCCCTTAAAAATTGTTCATTTAAAATTATAAGCTGTATGGACCGCCTGGGTGGCTCAGTCGTTAAGCGTCTGCCTTCGGCTCAGGTCATGATCCCGGGGTCCTGGGATCGAGCCCCACATCGGGCTCCCTGCTCAGCGGGAAGCCTGCTTCTCCCTCTCCCACTCCCCCTGCTTGTGTTCCCTCTCTCGCTGTCTCTCTCTCTGTCAAATAAATAAAATTTTTTTTTAAATTATAAGCTGTAAATGGCATGTATAGTACTATTATATATACATAATAGTAGGATCTTATTAATATATATTACATAGTTATATATACATAGATATATAAATATGCATTTATGCATAGAGAAATGTCTGGAGTGATAGAACTCTAATTTTTAGTAATAATAACAGTGAACACTTACTTACATTGCAGTTATTATGTGTCAGACACTGTTCTAAATGATAAATGAGGACACTATGCTAAGTGAAATAAGCCGGTTACAAAAAACAAATACTGCGTGGTAACACTTATATGAGGTATCTACAACAGCCAAACTCGTAGAAGCCAAGAATAGAATGGTGGTAGCCAGGCACTGGGGACAGAGGGGAAAATGGAAAGTTGTTGCTCAGTGGGTATAATAAAGTTTCAGCTATGCAAGGTGAATGAGTTCTAGAGATCTGCTGTACAACACTCCCTACAGCTAACACTTAAAAGTATGTTAAGAGGGGGGTGCCTGGGTGGCGCAGTCAGTTAAACGTTGGACTCTTGGTTTCAGCTCAGGTCATGATCTCGGGGTTGTGGGATTGAGCCCCTCATGGGGCTCCACACTCAGTGCAGAGTGTGCTTGAGATTCTCTCTCCCTCTCCCTCTGCCCCTCCTGCTCGTGCTGTCTCTCTCTCTCTCAAATAAATAAATAAATCTTTAAAGAAAATATGTTAGGAGGACAGATGTCATGTGAAATGTTCTTACCACAATTAAAAAATAATCTCAAATATACATACCCTTTGGCCCAGCAATTCCACTTCTAGGGCTTTATCTTTCAGATATACCCATACATGTGCAAACAATACATATATATAAGGTTATTCATGATAGCATTACTCATAATGCAAAATATTGGAAATAATGCCCATATCCCTCTACATGGGACCTAGTAACTAAACTCTGGTTCATTCATGCAATGTAATACCATGCAACAGTAAAAATTAAGAGTTGCTTATGTACTGATTTAGGGTGATTGCTAAGAGAGCAAGGTGCTACCACTTGTATAAAACAAAGAGGGATGAAACTTTATATACACAGTATCTGAGAAGATAACTAAGAAACTGGTAACACTGTCACCTGGAAAGAGAAGCAAATTGCTAGAGTGCACAGTTGATGTGATGCATCTCTTTTTTCACTTTTCAAACTATGTGACTCTATTACCTATTCAGAACATGAATTCGATGAACATTTAGGGAAAAAAAAAAAAACCACGCCCAGATCAGCTGACCTTTGGGCTCGGTAGATGTATTTCGAGTTTCCGGTGAGGCGGTATAGCAGCAAGAAGACATAAGCACTGCCGGCGACACCGTGGCAAATCCCCGGCCCCTTCTTCAGCAGGCCCTTCTGCCACGTAAGTTCCCCACACCGGATACACGTGTCCAGGTACTGCGGTTTTTTGGAAACCAGATAAGCTTTGGCAAACAGATAGGCAATTCCTGTGAAAACATCAAAGACATCAGAGGTGACTTTGGGGCTTTATGCTATGGAGCAGAACTTCTCCAACTGTAAAAGGCTCACACATCACCGGTGTAGAACACCCATTCTAATCTGGTAGGTCTGAGGTAAGGCCTGAGATTCGGCATTTCTACCAAGTGCCCTTCTGGGAACCACGTTCTAGGAGCAGCGCTATAGAATCTTCCTGTCTTATGTTACCTGTGAGATTTAGTTGTTTGAATTGTATTGTGATATTGGCCCCTGGAGAAAGAGCAACAAGTACAAAGAGTGATACAATCCATAATTTACAAATGGGTTAATATTTAACGATGCATACTCTGGTAAGCATTAGGCATATCTGGCTATTTGAAATGGCTAAGTGTTTATACGGCCTGCCCATTCCCCCACAGAGGTTCAGAATTTGTAATGTTAAAGTGCTTATAACTATACACCTTTTCTTAAGGCAAAACTGGGAGTCCTTCCAGAAACAACAATGATCCCAAACGACCTGGCCAAGACTTCTACTCCAGCTGTGAAGTGAGTCCTTCCCTACTCGATTGTTCTAAAGGAAGACAGTTTCCTTCCAAACTCCTCAACAGAGGCAATCTCAATTACACAGGCAGGAACAGAAACAAGAAAAGCGACAGCTATTAATGGAAATGATTTCCCCCAAGTTCCAGGTGCTCATATTCGGAGAGGAGATTAGTAACACAAGATCCCTCTCTCTCCTGCATGGCCTCTAACTCTCTCCTACATGAAGTGGGAAAGATTGGAATTTAGCAGGTTACGCGACTAGCTCGTCCATCAGGGTTATCTCTGCCTTTCACTGTCTTTTGACCAGGCTATTTTACAACTCTGTGGAGACAGAAATTACCTTGTAGACAACTGAGAGTAATGTAAATAATTCCTATTCCTAGAAAATCACATACTGTCTGGGAGAGATTGTTTTGACTTCCCTTGGCCTTTGTGGAAGCAGCCAGTTTTGCATCTATTAAGCAAATTCATGTCAGCTCTCCTAATGGCCCATAAATATGCCTGCTCCTGGAATTTTCCTTTGAAACCAGCTGTAACACCTTTCCGGTTCCCTCATTAATTAATGAGCTAAATAAAATTGTTGACCCACGTTTATTTTATATTTGTATGAGTCATGATTTTAGTCTCTTTTAGAATTGATCCTCTAACACTTCCTATGATTAACACATAACAACAGGTTCTCAGCCAAGGCTTTCCAGTCAACCACTGACAATGGTCACCCATAGCCTATTGTCCTTCTTCACTTCTAGGAACAAAGTGTCTTCCACAAGCTAAAAGAAGATATTAAAAGAATTGAACTTATTTACACATTTATTCATTCACTGTATCCATTCTGTCGTAAGTGATCGTTGGTTACTGTATACGTGGCCCTAGGCAGGGCTTGCTTCATGGGCATGTGACCTGTACAGTCTCCAAGGGTCTCCAGAAGGACCTCATGCTGGGTTTAATACTCTGCTGTTACCATCTTGAAATTAATAATCAATTTTTTAAAGAAGGCTGCCTTGGGTGCCTGGGTGGCTCAGATGGTTAAGCGTCTGCCTTCGGCTCAGGTCATGATCCCGGGGTCCTGGGATCGAGTCCCACATCGGGCTCCCGGCTCGGCGGGGAGCCTGCTTCTCCCTCTGACCCTCTCCCCTCTCATGCTGTTTCTCGCTCGCTCGCTCTCTAAAAAAAAAAATAAATAAAATCTTTAAAAAAAAATAAAGAAGGCTGCCTTTTCACTTTGTGCTGGGCCCCCCAAATTATGTAGCCAGTCTTGGCCTTAGGTTATACGAAATAAATGCTAAACAAGATTCCTGACCTTCAGGAAGGTACTGTCTAGAAAGGGAGAAAAAATTTGTACATGTGACTTATATACATCATAGGACATGGAGTTCCTGATGCTGTTGGAGCATAAAATGAATGACGCTGTCAATAACCCTAGAGGGATCAAAAAAGTGGAAGTTCCCTGAGGGAGACAGTTGGGTGAGGCCCAGGATAGAAGTAGGGCTTTCTTCAGGATTTTGCAGGATGCATAGGAAACTCCAAGCCCAACATGAGTTACAGAGAGCATTCTAGGCATCAGGATCAATAAGGGCAAAGATTTGCAGCCAGGGCAAACAATCCACATGAAGACCAGTGGTGCAGTGTTCTAACCAATAGGACAGGGAGATGGAAGGGTAGATTGGGTTCACCTTATGGATGGTTTTACAAGTCCAGTTAAGCAGCATGGACTATATTCTGTGGGCAATAGGGAACCAATGGGAGGGATTTTGTTGTGGATTGGTTGGGTTTTACTTTTAATGATGCGGTTAGTATTATAGACAAAATGTCCCACAGTGGTGTCAAGAGAGAACTAAAGAAGCACAATGGGGTAGCTATGAGCTGATCATGTCGGCAGAAAGATGGCAAAGAGGCTAATAAAAGGCTCAAAGGATTTGGTGGTTGTTTAGACAGTAACTGAGCACCTACTATATATCAGGTACAGTAGTAGGTGCTAAGGTTTTAAAAAGCCTCTCCCTTCACAGTGTTTACAATCTAACTGGAGGCATTAATTAGGTTATCTGAGGGGAAAGAGAGCTGTCATGGAACACACAGGATGGCTCCTAACCCACACCTAGAGGTAGGAAAGGCCCACTAGGGGGAGTGACACCATCTAGCCTGACTACGAAAGATGAGGAAGAATTAGCCGGGTGAACTGGGAGCCCTTGGTGCTCTGCTGGATTGCCTTTACCTTACCTGCAGGTGCCCCATTTCCCAGATGCTATGAATTGGCTGCTCATAAAGCTCACAGCTGCCCTCTTCTTGAGAGATTTGCACTCACCCAAATGAAAGGCTATGCTATATGCCCACCTCCCCAGGAGATTTCAGCCAACGACTGGCTCTGACACAGGGAAACCAAAGGTCAGCTCCCCTGCCTCAGGATGGACCAACCCTGTGGTGTAATCTATGACTCTTGGCACCCACTCAGAAGCCAGGTGAAGCTAGTCTCCATTTGAGACACAAAAAGCCCTCTGTGACTCAGCTCTTACTCTGTTCTGCCAAAGTCTCCTCCATTACCTACTTGAAGATTTTCGCTTCAGTAAAACTAAACCCCCCACAGTTCCCCTTCCTTCACTATGTGGTTCCAAGCCTCTGACTGACTTTTCTTGGAATAATCTTCCCAACTTTCTTGGCCTGGCCAATTCACCTCAGACATCACTGCCTCCAGGAAGCCCTCCCCAAACCTGGAGGGGCACCTGGAATCCCTCTTCTGAGTTCCCATCATTCCCTATACAAACCTTAGCACTTAGACGATATCATATTAAAATTTTGTTTATATGTCTGCCTCCCCTAGGACCTTACCAACTACTCATGGGCGGGAACTCTATCTCGTTCACTTTTGCTCCCCTCGTCTACGGCATGCTGTTTGACCTGGCAAGGGCCCCAAAAACATCTGCTGACTTTATAATGTCTCATTTCTCACCCCAGCACAGGCCGACACCGAGGCAGAGACGAGATGTGGAAGCAAGAAGGGCTGATATGGTCCAATTGCTGTGCCAGGCTATTAGCCCAAGGCAGCTTAATATAGCTATCGATCCTCTGCTTCCGGCCAGAGACAAAGGACCTCTTCCTGCAGCCTGAATCACAGAATGGTCCATGGAAGGGACCTTGAAAGACTTCTAAACCTCTTGTCTTCTAACCTGACCTACTGAAACCCGCAATAAGGTTGCTTAATCGAAAAGCAAGGAATGTTGGGTTTCTTTGCTTTTGATAGGAGCCGTGTCATTTTGTCACTGGAACACTGATTATTGGGCACTTACCAGAAACCTAAGTCACCAATGATATACGTGTTTACCGAACACTGGGAAAAGAAATCATTACTTAAGAAATATGGTTTGGGAAGCTAAACCTGTGAAAGCACGCAATCTAGCAGAGCCTCGTGACAGACTCGGCACGGATAGTTTGAACAGACTGGAGCATCACCCCACAGGTCCGTTCTGCGGTCTGTCATTTCACTGAGGCACACATTGTACGGCGCGTGACAAAGCCTGGGGACCAATGACACCTGCACTGGTCAAGCCCTTGTTTTCTATTCAAAGTCACATACCCAGGAGCCCTTGTGAAATGATTTTAAAAACTAGCCACACCTGTTTCCTCCTCTGCGTGAGGAAAGGAAATGCACTGTCCGTGTTACCACAGTAATGATGTAACATAATGCAATCTAGAGTTTATTTTAGACACAGCATTTGTTTTAATGATTTTGTAAATGACTCTCATCCTGTATTTCAGAATCATTAAGGCTATGAAGAGGTCATATGCATCTGCCTGCTGTATGGCGTTGTATTTAGTGAGAAAAACTAGATGCCACACTGGCTATTTCTAAATGTGGGTGTCTGCAGATCTTTTGGGACATATCCCTCAGGAAGGGCAAGAGTCCACAGGACAAAGGGGATCTGGGGTGATCAAAAGACTGACTTTCACCGCTCCATCACCACATGCTCATTTCACAGATGAAGAAACAAAGCCACGAAGGGCACACAGTGGTTTTCTCAAGGTCATTTAGTGGATAGCATTGGGGCTACGATTAGAACCCAAAGTTATTGACTTCGAGGCAAGAACTATTTCCACACTGCCTAAATGATAACTAATTAGAACCTGTAGAGGTGGGTTAAGGACAGTCGATAGGAAACAACTATAGGGGGAGATAAGGTATTGTTGATGAAGTTCCACATTTGGATTATCTCTTGCAGGTTTTTATTCACAGAATCAGTCTGCTGCCCCAAACCATCCGCACTGTTCATAAATCTGCTCTCAAAAAATGTTTTCCTCAAACAAGTGAAAATGATTTTTCTAAGTCATCTTTTTTAGAATTTTGGGGAAGTTTAGTGTTGCTGACTTGATGGTCTTTAACCTGTACTTATCAGATTTATAATCACTCTTAGGTTGTTTTTAGCACATCACATAAAAGGAGGACCAATACCCTTGAGGTGGGAGTGCGGGTTGGCATACATAATGGGCCCCAGTTGGTTCTTTATTCATTTGTGAACTGGTTTATTTTTGGTAGTTCAGTGAATACAGGGTTTTAATGAGTTTGCTCTGCAACCTATGTTTAATCTTACCAAGATACAGAACGTGAATGATATATGAGGACAAATGAAGTCCCCAAGGTGATAAATCATACGCTATACTGTTACAGTGCATGATTTACAAAGACACCCCCATCAATTAACTGACCCAGTCACTCCTTTTAATGGATTATCTTCCCATCTTTGCAAGGCTGTTACTAGCACTTTGAGTCCCTTTAAAATATTCTGTATTTAATTTGGGACACCTTCAAAATTCAAGGATTCTGGGGGTGCTTGGAGGATAGCCAGAGACCATCACTGAGAATGATTAAAGGGAAATGGGATAGGAGAGTGCTGAGCGTAACATGAAGGGATATCATTTCCAGAATGGTAAATAACTTGTTCTTCTCCAAAAAGTTCAAAGCCAGAAGAAATGGGCTCAAATCATCACCAGCGGGAATGAGCCTGGACATAATGCACAATGCGCTGGCGCCAGGACAAGCACACACAGGAGCCTTTGAAGTCCCTTCCTTAGGTAAACGTGGCAGGTGCAGAAAACATGGCCAATGAGCTAAAACTTGTTATTCTTCAACTTAAACTGTACCAAAGAAAAAATGAAATCTCAGTTGGATTACAGGTTAATTAGGTAAGGAGCGGAAAGGAAGTAATAAAAATCAGGTAACAGACTAAAGAGAAATCGAATATATTTTAAAGCTGTGCTCATGGCACTGAAGCATAGACTTGAAAATTAAATCCACTCCTGGGGCGCCTGGGTAGCTCTCAGTTAAGCATCTGCCTTCGGCTCAGGTCATGATCCCAAGGTCCTGGGATTGAGCCCTGCGTCAGGGTCCCTGCTCAGTGGGGAGCCTGCTTCTCCCTCTGCCCCTCCTCTAGCTGGCTCTCTCTCTCAAATAAATAAATAAATAAAAATCTTAAAAAAAAAAAAAGAAAATTAAATTCACCTAATCCAAAATTTTTGTGTTATTTTGGTATTTTAAATCTCTCCCCTGGCCAATCAACTGAAATTGATTTATTTGAATTTAACTTCTTTCAAATTGCTCCTTCTCAGAAAGCCTAATTAACAGGGTAATGGGATTTAAAAAAAAAAAGAAAGAAAGAAAAGATGGAGTCTGATAAATTTCTAGGCTCAATTCCAGAGAGTTCACTGCAGATGGCTTCTCAGTTCTCTAGACTTTTTATTAGGTGATGATGGAAATCCTCATTTGAAGAATTATGGAATAGTGCATCTCAAAATTTAATGTGCATAAAAATACGGAGGGATCTCGTTAACATGCAGATTCTGATTCAGTGCGTCTGGGGTGGAGCCTGAGGTTCTGCATTTCTAACCAGCTCCGATGTTGCTCCTGCCACTGGTCCAGGGACCACATTTTGAATTACCAGCCTCCAGATTTATACTGTTCGATGCAGATATTGAGCCCCTGCCATGTGGCTAGTGTGAATTGAGATGGGGTGTTAGTACAAAATATACACTGGCTTTCAAACACCTTAATATGAAAAAAAAAACTGAAACAGCTCAAGTTTTAAATTGGTTGCATGTTGAAAAAATACTTGGGGTATAAAATATCTATTATTAAGATTCATTTCACCTGTTTCTGTTTACATTTTTAATGGGGCTACTAAAAATTTAATTTCATGTCATTCATATTATATTTTATTGGACAGTCCTAGTTTAATTTATACACAAATAGATATGGATCATATATTGTTAAAATTACAGGATCATTTCTAGAGATCCTTTACAGATTAAGACTTTTTTTTGGTTTGACAAGTTTCATGTTGACTTTTTTAGCTCATGTAGTAATGACATAAGATGAGAAATACCCTCACTCCTCAGAAAAGACACCTCTCTTTGGCTAAGCCCAGTGAAAGGCAACATTTTCAGATAATAGTGTGGGTGAGACCTGGGGCGCCATGGCACCAGTGTACCAGCTCGTTCTCTCTCTCGATGGCCTCGCCGAGCTCGGGTGGCCAGTTGCAGTTCTGTTCCTGCTCCATGAGGAAGTCCACACTCTGCCATACCAGCTCCTGATCTGAGGGCTTGAGGTGCTCGTGGTAAGACAGAAGCATCTGGAGAATGGACGACAAGCCATGAGCTGCTCCTGTATCAAGAAACAAAGCATACTTAATTCACACAATTGGGAGGACAGCCCACTTAATTTAGTGAAAAGATAATCACGGTATAAAAAAATGAATGGCAGTATTACTTGAAAGCAGACACAGTAAATTCAACTCCATAACGGTAAAGCTTTCTCTTTGCACTCAGGCCCTTGGAACTCCCCCCAAATGGCCTTAGTTTTTAGCCAGTCAAAAACGATTCTTCTGGGGCCCCTGGGCAGCTCAGTCAGTTAGGCGTCCAACTCTTCGTTTCAGCTCAGGTCGTGATCTCTGCGTCGTGAGATCGAGTCCTGCGTTGGGCTCTGCACTCAGCGGGAAGTCTGACTGAGATTCTCTCTCCCTCTGCTCCTCCCCACCCCCCTCTAAAAAATAAAATCTTAAAAAAAATTCTTCCTAAAATTTAGTCATAATACTTGAAGGTACCTTTCTTTTACTGGATTTTAATTAGGTAAAAAAGCTTTCCAGGAAAATATTTATGCATTAGATAGCAATCTGGTTTGTGCTATACATGTGAATGACTAGAATGTTAATTTCTCTAAAAAGATGGAAAATGAAAGGAATAGTTCTATTAAGAAACTCTAGCAGACACTGCCAGTGCCCTGCCCATCACCTCGCCCACACTCACCATTCTGGGGCACCTCTCCTCCCCAGCTTCTACCTCAAGCATTTATCCTTCTGCCTGAGGCTTTCTCTGGCCACAGGGGTATGCCCAGCCCACAGGGACAGGACTGAGGTCCTAGGGAATTAACAGGTCTGGGAACAGCCCTCGACCCAGGAAGCAAGGAGCTGGTGGATGAATACCCCAGCTTCCTCACCATTGGGGTGGGGCAATTCTGAGGGATGTTCTAGACAGTCTTCAGGGTCCCCAGTGGAACAAAGCCTCAGTTATCCACAGCTGTTCACCATTACATCCTCTATTAACCTCTTTCTCTACCCTGTCTCACTTCCTCAGTCCTTTATCAACACTTTCTAGGATCACCTTCCAAATAAGCCATTTATACCCAAATCCTTGTCTCAAGGTCTGATTCTAGAGAAAGATAGGAACTTAAAGGTTCTTTGAGAAATCTCTCAGAGAACTACTAGTCTATAAGCTCATTGCTGAAGTTGGGTACCCTCATTAGGTACAGGCTGTTGGTAAATGTCCGGGGATCACAAAGATAAGTGAGCAAAAGTCCTCATCCTGAAGGTGCACAAAGCCCACTGAGGCAGCTGGACAGGCAAACCACTAATTACAGCGTGAATTGATAAAGGCTCCAATAAAAGCATGGCAGGGTGACCTGATATGAACCAATTTTGCTTCAGGGTAAAACCTGAAACATGTGAATGTTTCTCCAGAGAAGATTTTTTTTTTTTTAAGATTTTATTTATTTGACAGAGAAAGACACAGCGAGGGAGGGAACACAAGCAGGGGGAGTGGGAGAGGGAGAAGCAGGCTTCCCGCCGAGCAGGGAGCCCGATGCGGGGCTCGATCCCAGGACCCTGGGACCATGACCTGAGCCGAAGGCAGACGCTTAATGACTGAGCCACCCAGGCGCCCCATCCAGAGAAGATTTAATAAAACCTTTTTCCAAAAGCGCAGTTTCTCAATAGCTCTGATGATGTTTGATCAGCCTTGAAGTCTAGGTGTATTACAGATAGTTGAAAGGGTTGGGGAAGGCCAGGCATTCTGGGCAAAAGGAACAGGGACAAAGATTTTGAAGATTTGAGAGCACTTTGCTTGTAGGAGATTATACAGGACAGAACCAGAAAAGGGGGAGAGACGGAGCTTGAGTTTGGAGAAAGGAGCAGGTGATCTACAAAGGGCCCTGTAAGTCATGCTCAGGAGTGATGGGGAGCCACTGAAAGACTCAAAAGGGGAGTAACCAATTTTCACTCTACAGGCCTCATGTCTCAAAAGTAGCCATTATGACTTAGTAGTCTGTTATTATTATTATTATTATTTAAGATTTTATTTATTTATTTGACAGAGAGAAAAACAGTGAGAGGAAACACAAGCAGGGGGAGTGGGAGAGGGAGAAGCAGGCTTCCCACCAATCAGGGAGCCCGATGCGGGGCTCGATCCCAGGACCCTGGGATCATGACCTGAGCCGAAGGTAGCCGCTTAACCGACTGAGCCACCCAGGCATCCCAGTAGTCTGTTATTAATCCACTAATATTTAAACACTTGAAAATCTCAGTGGCTTCATCCTGTTTCCCTGTACAGAGGCACCGTTGGCAATGAGTGTATAAACCGTTCAAAAACTTTTGGTGAAATTCAGCCAATGAACTCACAATCTAGAATAAGGATTTTAGTCTTTAGGGAAAGCAATCATCAAAATAGCTACGTTTCTGTCAGACTATGAGAACAAACATTAAATTGTGATTTGTAGTATCTATTAATATTCGTTTTTAAATGGCATTTTAAAGTATTTCTAGTTAAATGAATAGTGATGACCCAAAATCAAAATCTTCTAGTTTTTAGTCAGTGCGGGTATTAAGAGGACTTTGCTAACACTTTCACTCACCCAAGTATTCAGTTCCATAGTAAGAATACATCAGGGGGAATGGTTTCCTTTTTTTCATGGCATACTGCTTCCCAGAGTCCAGAATCGCCTGGCAAATTGATTTGATCTGTGCTGGGGTCAGTACCTGAGTAAGGAAATCAAGAAGCAGAAGTCAAATCAGGATCTTCTTTTTTTTTCCACAGACACTGGATTTTCTCCTTAAGGTCCATCAGCATATTCCCCAAATCCTTTTCCTCTATGTAAATAAGCTTAGCCAGTAGTAACTTTTTGTTTTTAAACAACTGATTCACTTTTTTTTTGTCAAGTTTATCCACCCTCTTCAGAAAATTTGCTGTGTTGATGGGAAATACACATTTTTATTGCCCTAGGCTTCTATAAAATGCAAAGACCACTTTACCACGGTTATATCATTAATCCTTGTCACGGGAACAAGAAATTGCACAGAGAACAAAGACTGGGCCTAACGGATCATGCTTAATAAAGCTGTCACTCCCAGTGTGTGGCGCAGGTCTGGCCCAGACAATGGGCCTTCGGTCTGTGTCATTTAGACTGTGCTAATAAAGCACAGCTGCATGACAGACTCACGGTAGCCTCTGCACTCCCAGAACGAAACCAAAGTCCAGTAAGTACCAAGACAAAATCACTTTCAATATCAAAATGACTCTGAATAGAGAATGGCTAAAATGCAATGACTTGCAGTCTTCCATATTTTACTCAATCTACCCACAGTCCATTCTTAGGACCCTAGAGATGAAAAAGTCCTCAAGCCTACAAAGCAGTGTTGAGTTTATTAGGATTCTGCTTAGGTGTGAGAGGTTCCTCAGGGCAGATGAGATGCTCCCAGCTCCCTCTGGCCCACTCCTTCTACCTCACCATGACTCTTTGGGGGAGCACTTACCACCTGGGGTGTTATGCCTCTGTCTCTGTCTCTCTCTACTAGACAATCAAGATGCCACAAGACTATGGCATCTCACCTTTTTGGTATCCTCAGTACCTAACACAGAACCTGAGGGGGCCTTTGGGAATAAATAAGTGCCAGGTTTTTACTGGCATGAAAAGCAGAGCTCTCCCTCTCTCCCTTCCTTCCACAATTATTTCTTAAGCCCCTACTATATAACAGGAAAGCTGTTCTAGATGTTGGAGGTATGACAATGAAAAGATTGACAAGACCTCTGCTCTCATGAAGCCAAACTTCCAAAAACGCAGACCTGGTCCAGAAAAGTACCAGTCAGAATAACCATGGCCACTGCCCGCCCCCCACCTGCCCCTCCAAAAATCACCTGAAGTTCAGCCTTAGATTGAATGAATCTAAGATCAAAGAAAAGTCCATTGGATTTTGGCCTCTCTCCTCACACATCAAGTTTTTCTGCCTGATATCTACCATTATACTCACCAATTCCTTCTGAAATAAAGTACTAATGATTTTTTTTTCTTTTTCTCTCCCTCCCACCCTTTCTTTCCCTTTCCTTTTTTCTTTCCTTTTTTCTTTCTTTCTTTCTTTCTTTCTTTCTTTCTTTCTTTCTTTCTTTCTTTCTTTCCCTCCCTCCCTCCCTCCCTCCCTCCCTCCCTCCCTCCCTCCCTCCCTTCCTTCCTTCCTTCCTTCCTTCCTTCCTTCCTTCCTTCCCAGGGTTTTGCTCCTCTGATACACACAACACAAGAAAGGCAAAATATAATCCAGATTTTGGCCTCCTCAAATCTAACATTTAATTTGGGAAATTAATTACATAAAGAGGAGGTTGTTCATTAATTAATTCTGCCAATTAACACTTCCTGAGTTACTATTCCAGTGAGGCCCTAAACTTGGTATTATGGGAGAAATTCTAGAAAACCCAGGACATATTTTTTTCCTTACAGGGAACTTACTATCCAGCACTGGAGATGAGATGTAGCCAGAAGTCTACCATAGAACAATTTAAGTTCATGAGCCTAAGGGTGGAAAGAAAGTAATGCAGAGTATGTAACACAGACAAGGAAGCACTGTTCAGCTTCACTAAGACTTTACTATCTCGTTTTCTATCTGGTTGCTCAGAAACAATGATGTTGTGGCTTTCAACTTAAATTTTCCTTCTTTTAGCAACCTATCTCTGTCTCTTGGCTGTACTCCTCCTTTCTGCCTAAAATTCCTGAAGACTCTTATCTTCCCAGACATTCCTGCCATCATTTCAAGGCTCAACCTTGGGTCTTTGCAGAGCTGAACAGCAAATTTCTCCTAAATGATTTCCTACCCTGCATCTACTCAAATTGCTACCCCAAATTTTCATTTGCTATTAAAAACACCTTTTCCTTTGTGCCTTTATCAGTGCCAACTGATCTTACATTGAGTCTCACTCTACAGAATAGCTTCCATCCCCAGTCCCATATCAATCCCTCCAGCCTGGCTTGCCCTCAGAAACATGCTAAGAGACTCGAATGGCATGGATTTCGTAGGACCCTGACCTGGTCCCAGCCCACATTTTCCTGGCAATATATCTGGCTCTTCAGATGAACTTAGGTCCTGTCTGCCAATATTGGTTCTGAATCCATATGACAAGAAACAGTTTTTGTGATAGGAAAAGATCACTGGGGTATGTATTCATTTGAATTACTAAAATTCTCCCTATTTTACTTCTATGCTACTAAATGAAAATCAGTTTATTTTTTCCTCGGTTGAGCATTTATTCATGTTCTCTGTGTGTGTGTATTTGTGTGTGTGTGTGTGTGTTCACCTGCTTGTTTTAAATGCAGGAAAAAAATCAACTTAGATTACATGTGGTGCCCTCTTCCTTTCTTTCCATCCCTAACCCACAGCCTAGAATAGAGCACGAGTTTATAAAGTATTTCAAAACCTCCCCAGTCATGCATCATGTCTGCGTGGTTTCCTCTTATCTCTCGGGAACACTGTGAAAAACAAAGAAAAACCGTGCTAGTTTGGCTAGATAAAGACCAGTTATGCATGCAGTTCTTTATCTCTGAGAACAGACAAGACCGACCCTTGGGTTTATCGATCAGCAGATACAAAGTGAAAACAGCGCTTATCAAAAGTGTGTGGAGGAGGAACACTGAGGAAGAGAGTGCTGTTTCTTTCCCCCTGAGCAAATAGCACAGAAAGAAGAGATGCGGTGGGAGGGGCTCATCCTTCCCTCATGTGTCTGCTTTCTCAGGCGTTGCGCCGTCCCCTGGCCCAGGGAACGAGGAAGTGGCATTTCCAGTGGGGGGAAAAAGTGACAGGATGGCAGAGAGGGGCTTCCTGCCCATCAGGCCTCTACCAAAACAAACCCAAATTCCCTCTCCTGTATTTGTAGCACCTAAGGCCTATGTGTGTGTTGGTATCTTGGATGGATCTGGTTCTTTAAACTGTTTTCTACACTGACTTAAAATAAATTATGATAATGCAAGAATGCAAAGCAAGGCCGTGGTGGCTTGATTTAAAGTTTTGTTAGTTTAACTGATTCCCTTCACCGATCCTCAAACAGAGGTGTCTATGGTGGGCTCTGGGTTTGAAGAGCTGAGAGATAAAGCCCATGCTATGCTTCTTGGCCCTACCCGAGGGTTGTGTGGTAACTGAACCATCTCCATGCCAAGGAGTTTCATTAAGGAAACGGATGATGTGACCCAAGCCACACAAACCTTCCTTCGCCACAGACCCCTTTCCCAGGCAAGTGTCCCGCCCACAGGCCCTCTGAAGTGGCAGCCTTTGCTAGCTATAGATCAACCACGGCCAACGTGATCAAGCAATAGTCCAAAATGTCCTACGTGTGTGACTGCTCATCTACGTGGAATGCAGAAAGCCACGCCTATATCACACCAAACACATAGTAAGAATCTGATATTAATGGAGGCGTTTCCTCCAGCAATTTATTTGACCTCAATTCTTTGTCTACCACCATATGTGCCCGCACAGGCTTCTGTTCGGAGAAAAGAAACAAGCCATTTGACTACCAATGAACATCAAAATGACTTGATGCCCATGGACAATAGCTTTGAGGAAAAGGCTTTTGAATTGTCAGAACCTGGGTATTTTCGAACTTCAAATTGATGCCATAAAGAATACACTTGAAGGACACAGAGAGTCAGGATGGAACTAAAAGCTGTTCAAGGTATGAAAAGCTGACACAGAAAGGAAACCAGGAAGTTGAAAGTCAGTGTGGAGTCCCTGCTCTCCTTCCTACACCCCTTGTGCCGAGCCTTAGGAGAGATCCTATAATCCACTGGATAGGTTTGGGGATTTATAGGTAAGCTAGGATGTGTGCCCTCTGCTCCCTCCTGGAATTGGGGAGTTGGAAGCCTCAAAGATGTGTCTTTTGCCTCAGGGTCTAGGACCGGTAAAAGAGATAACACTGCATGGCACATCCCTGGAGAGAGCCAGAGACAATCCTAAGTTTCCTGTGCGCACCATGCTGAAGCAGGAAAAAAAATATCCCATCCCCCAAAGTAAACTTATTTTTAAAAATTCTCTGTCCAAATAATCTCAAACTAAAAAGTTAGGGAAACTTTTTTTTTTTTTTAAGATTTTATTTATTTATTTGACACAGAGAGAGACAGCACAAATAGGCAGAGTGGCAGGCAGAGGGAGAGGGAGAAGCAGGCTTCCCGCTGAGCGGGGAGCCCGATGCGGGGTTCGATCCCAGGATCCTGGGATCATGACCTGAGCCGAAGGCAGCCGCTTAGCCGACTAAGCCACCCAGGCGCCCCTAGGGAAACTTTTTTTGTACCAATATTCAATATTCACAAGTGGTTAGGTTTTTTGTTTGTTTGTTTGTTTTGTTTTTTTACTTTTTATGCCTTTTGCAGGTTGTGGTTTGGTTGGAACCTACTAGGTTACAGAGAAGAGCCAGGCCTTCAGAAAATCTCTGCAGGGGGTGGAGATTTACCTCAGGTGTTGAGAAGACAAAAACTGAGGGAAACTCCTTTGAGGCAGAAGAATCTTAAAGAGACATGACAGGGCTAAGGGACAGCTTTCAAGCAGGAAACAGATCTTGATGAATCAAACAATTCCCATCTTTTGCAAAGCCTGTGCAAGGCACTCTGGGGGAAGATGTAATCTTAATAATTAGACTAATAATACCCGAACCATTTAAACAATGAAACACTCAACATTTGTTTAAATTCAAAAGTCATGACCTATAGGGGTAACGTGGAGGGAGT